TGCCGTTGGCTGGGAAGACGGCTCCTCTTCATCCGTCCCTTCCGTCTACAAAGCGTACCTGATCTGCGCCAGTACGGGAAAGGCCGCCGTTGCTGTGGGTGGAACCACCGTCCAAAGTGCCTTCAAACTCGTGCGGGCTGCCCGTGGAAACCGACAGGACGCCCGCCTTGGAGTCATGGGGGACGGTGGATTGCGACCTAGTGACCTGAACACCTTCCGGTGTGCCTTCTGGAGAGTCAAGTGTGTCATCATAGACGAAGTCAGTATGATGTCCGCCGACTAACTCAAACTCGTTGATTGCCGTCTGCGCTAGATCACGCAGCGACTCACCGAACCCTTCGGTGGACTGGACGTCATCCTCTGCGGGGACCTGCGGCAGTTGCCGCCCGTGCGTGCCAGCGAGATCTTCAAGCGGCCCCGCAGTGCTGATGTTCTCCTCGGATTCAGCACTGTCACCTGGCATCATCTCGAATACTTCCCGCTCGTGAGAGTCGTGCGCCAGTTCGACGTCACCTTCTCCGCGGTCCTCACCAAGATTGGGGACGGCTGCGCGCTCGAGCCCGAAGAAGTAAAGCTTCTCGAATCCAGGTTCGTCACGGTCGAGGAAGCCGCCGAGCGCGCGCCCTCGGCCGTGCGCATCTTCTACTCGAACGCCGATGTCACGCGTTTCAACGAGACCGTGGCCCATTCGTAGGACGACTTCGTGGTGCTTCACGCGCGTGATCGGTACCTCGGCTGCAAGACGCCGCATTTGCTCGAGAATGCCAAGCGCAGGGTTGCCCGCATGGTTCCCAGCGAGTTTGCAAATCTGCCCGGGGAAGTCATGGCCGTGGTTGGCAAGCCCTACATGATGACTCACAACATCGATCTCGTGGATGGTCTGGTCAACGGTGTGGTTGGAGTCTTGCACCTGTGTGAGCTCGCCGGCCCGTTCCCCGATGATGGAGATGAAGTGGATGAAGAAAGAGAAGGAGACGAGGATGAAGAGACGCGCGTGAGGTGACTGTGGCTCGAGTTCGATGTGCCCGGTACCGGAAAGCTCACGCGTGCGCGCGCCACTCGGGCCGTTCACGAGGCACGTTCCAATGGCTACGACGTGACTAGCGAGAACTGGATACCCATCCAGATGCAGTCGGCCACCGTCACGGTAGATCGAAAAACCGGCATAGCTTGTAAACGGATGCAGTTCCCCCTTGTCCAGGCCAGCGCCATCACCGTGCACAAATCTCAGGGGGGAACCTACGCATCGGTCGTGTACGACTACACCAAGACGCACCCGCAGAAGCTCGTCTACGTTGCGCTCTCTCGGTGTACCAACCTCAACGGACTATACCTCACCAACGCTGAGGGAGACCACACCTTCTACCACAAGCAAGACAACCCCGACAAACCCATGCTCGATGAGTTTCGGAGGCTCGAGAATCACTGTCTCGTCACCGTCACGCAGCGCTACCTCTCCGCTCTGAGGAACCAGCATTTCCGCAGGGTGTGCGAGGGTGGCTGTAGGGAGTTCACGCTCGCGCTCTTAAACGTCCGCTCTCTCTCGGCGCATGCACTGGCGTTGCCAAAGACCCCGTACTCTCCAGAGTTGATCTCCTCTGCTTCACGGAGACCTGGAACCGCTCCTCAGGTGACTGCGCTGCCGATGTCTCCCTGAGTGGCTACGATCGCGTGACCCGGGCCCTCGCCGAGAGAAGGGCTGGTGTAGTGGACGTCTTCCTAAAGCGCTACTGGCCCTTCAGTGAAGAGCTCAGGCGACAGCAGGACCGGACCCAACTCCTGGTCTTACAGCGTGCCGACCTCGCTTCTGATGCATCACCGCGAACGTGTCCCACTGACGACCCGTGCGCCTTCGCCCGAAGTGGAAGCCGAGGCGAGTACTGCGGCATGTGCTTGGTTGGACACGTCTACGCCAATGTCCTCTCGCATGCCGTCTGTACTTCGCCGCTCAGAGACGACTCGCCGTACGCCTCCATCTACACCAGTGCCTACTCCGGCGATGCCGTCCTGATTGTGACCGTCTACCAGGCCCCGAACCTCTCGAGAGATGACGTCTTGGAGCAGACGGATGCGGCGATGGAGAGTGAGTCTGTGCGCGCCGATTGTGGTGGTGGGTGACTTTAACGTGGACGTTGGAAAGGACAATGGCTGGTTGGTTGACCACATGCTGAACAATTACTCGATGACGTGTCTGTCTCTCGAGTTTTTCACCACGATCAACGGTGAATTCATAGACTTGGCGTTCAGTAGGAACTGTACGGTCCGCTCCGTCTTGCCGGATCCGCTCACCGTACATTTCTCGGATCACAAAGCGCTGGTACTAATTGTGAGCTACAACGGTAATACGAATAGGTGCTAATCTGTAGTGTAGTTTGTGTGTGTGTGTGTGATGCGCTCGCGATGTGTGCATTTAATGCATCGTACGAAAATCGTGGAGTGTAAATAAATTCTACTTCGTATATAATGTATCTGTGTACAAATTCCTCATGACAAACAACACTTAAATTCATTAATTACACATTAATCATCATCATCAGTAATAAAACTCTCAAGCATTTCCGCAAGGGTGAACATGGTTAAGTGCGAATGCACGGGGTGATGCTAAGAGGGGGAGTAAAGTTAAAATCCGTTGGCATTCGCCAGTGAGTTAACGTAAACTCCCCCGTGTGATCGAATTGCGATTCCCAGGAACCATTACACCATAAAGGCACCATAGTGTGATTAATAAATATATTAGTGCGAAATAATAAATACCCCTCATAGCATCACTCCGTGCATTCGCACTTAACCATGTTCACCCTCGGGGAAATGCTTGGGAGTTTTTTGCCACTGCATAATTCTTGTACGAAAACGCGTTTGTCATCTATGTGGCGAGTGAGTAGAAGCAGATTCATCTACATTGAGGTGCGCATTCTATTTTTGCGCCAGACTGCAACAGCGGTGACCGCAATGCCAACTCCGCTTCACGCAAATTGTTCGTTTGTTAGTTTATTTATTAAATTATTTTCGGCCGAAGTAAATATACTCAGCGGCGTGGGCCAACATAAAAGCTGCTATAAGCAGTTTGAGAACCTCATATATATGTATGCTCCGATTACTTTCGCCCTGCGGTGACGGGCTGGCAGATGAACCATCGTAAGCAAATTTCCTGTCTAGCCTTGCACGTACTCGGAGTTCATATTGTAGTCCAAATAAATTTTATAAATGTGTTTTAATATTGATTTTTAATAATTTTGTTATTGATGTTGTTATTATTACTATTATTAATACTATCATTACACGTGGTAGAAATTGGCAAACATGGCAGAGGTGACGCCGTTGAGTGTTCAGTATAAAGTGTGACAGCAATTACAACATTTACAAACACAACAATTACAAGACTTCGATGAAGCTGGAGCTTTGCCTTCCAGATTAGACCACAATAGCGTAATCGGGCCATGTGCGAATCTCCTTCCCAATTACTAGTCTACCTTCAGTCTCGGTGTATACCTTAACCATACCATAGGGGAATGAACGACTGTGCGTGAAACACTGGCCGTTTCAAACTATCGTAAAATGCATACTGTAAGTTCAGTTGCGAAGTTACCACTGCACCATCATTCTTACTTCAGCAATGTGGCGCAATGTCAATCAGCAATGTGGCGTTTCCACGTTCGTAAAGCATTATGAAAATAAAGGCTCAACTCCTCTTTAATCATTGGGCTTTTCAAACACAGATTCATTTTTCATTTCACATGTTTAGACGCCGGCACGATTCTACGCTTTTACCACCTAATACTGCGTGCATGAAAGAAATTGTTTCTATGACATGAACAAAAAAAGTAAAAGAAGTAACAGCTCTCAGCAAATATTTTCACTCGCTGACTCCTTCCAATGGCAAGTTAGGTATAATCATCATCATCTTGACTACGCCCACTGCAGGACAAATGTATCTCTCTTGTTCCGCCAGTAAAGTTGGTCTGGTGCTTGCTGCTGCCAAATATCCTAATTAGTGTTTAGCTCGTTAAGTAGGTAGCCCCGAGAGTAGATACGTAAGCGGAGAATTCCTAAGACAGGTATAATAATAAATAGACAGTTGATTCGATAGATAGATAGATGGATGAATAGATAGATAGATGGATAGATAGATAGATAGATAGATAGATAGATAGAAGGATAAATAAATAAATAGACAGATAGATAGATACATAGATAAATAGATAGATAGATAGATAGATGCAAATAATAGTCTGGTTTGCAAAGAAGTGGGATGTGAAAATGCGCACATATCAAGAGGAATGACCAAATGTAATATATTGACTGACATGTGGGGTTTACGTCCTAAAACCACCACTTGATTGTGAGAAAAAGCCCCGCCGCGGTGGTGTAGTGGCTAAGGTACTCGGCTGCTGAACCGCAGTTTGCGGGATTGAATCCCGGCTGCGGTGGTTGCATTTTCGATGGAGGTGGAAATGCTGTAGGCCGGTGTGCTGAGATTTGCGAGCACGTAAAAAACCCCAGGTGGTCTAAATTTCTGGAGCCCTCCACTACAGCATCTCTCATGATCATATGGTGGTTTTGGGACGTTAAACTCTACATATCAATCAAATCAATTATGAGGAACACCTTAGTGGAGTGCTCCCCAAATTCCGCACAGCTGGAGTTCCTTAACGTTAACGTGCACCCAAATCTGAGCACACGGGCATATACATCCTTTCGACCTCCATTGAAAATGCAGCAGCCACAGCCGGGATTCAATCCCGCGACCTGCGGGTCAGCAGCAGAGTACCTTAGTCACTACAGCACCGTGACGGGACAATGAAAAATGTAAGTGAAAGGCAGTAGTATTGTAAACGATAATCGCCATTTAATGCTTTTCTCGTTATGGTGAGGTGAGCGGAGAGAATAAGACATACTAGTGCTCTTTTCTGAAATGAGATTATAAAGGACAAATACATACTATAAAAATTACCCATTGTTTACAATGAGGCCTACAGCCTATTTGTGTGAACCCTACACAGGGACATTACGGTGGAACTCATTCAAAATATGTTGACTCTGAGTGAGACTCCAGAGACGGAGCTGTGGTTTCGAAGCACGGGTCGACAATGCTTTGTGGAATTCGTAGTCTTCCAGAGTGGATATTCTTATATGCACATAGAACCACAACTTTGGCCCTCTGTAGGATTCCGGAGGTTTGTCCAAGCGATATTACAATTTCAGCTTCATTGGCCACATATTAAGGTAGGTGCGAAAGTGACTACAATGCATGTTGTATTGCTTAATTATATTTTTTGCGTATAAAGCTGTGAATGAGGATAACAGCACGGTGTAGGCTGCACCTTCACCTTTTGACAGCTCAAGTAACGCATGAAAGTGCTATTGAATTCTGCGCAAGGTGCCCTTTTCAAGTAAACCCTTAACGTAGCCGGAGTTGCTGTGTGAATTTACTTACATTTTAGCTATATGTATGCCTGATTATGATCGGAGGGCAAAACAGCACTGCAATTTTTTTACGAACATACAGGACAACGACAGCTGCAGTTGCCCAGCGCTTGTGATCGTTATTCTTTCCGTGTGTTTGTCTGGAATTTCGGCGCCGCTTACCCTTTTTCGCTGTATGTACCAAGCGTTTACATTATCTTGATTTACAGCATCATCACCATCTTTGTCGAATGCAGGGCATCGGCCTCACCTATTTTTATCCAAGAAACGTGGCCCTATGCTTGCTGCAGCCACGTCACCTCAAACTTAATTGCTTAAGGTGACTCTCACATACGCAGCCTTCGATTTCCCGCTTAAGAAAAGTACCCATCCAAGTTCTGTGGTTGTGCATTGTAAAAGCGAAGTAGCCGCGGCGGAAGAGTACGGTGAAATATTATAACTGAGGCAACTGGTGTTTCTTCAACAAATGACCAACGAGACTCTGCCTGCTTTGATGACCATCTTCAATTAATGTTCACGACGTGAGCGCTCTATGCCGCACTTGCTTCTGCGCCACACTCACCGGCACCAGGACGACATGATTAAGACGCTTTGTTTTGTCTTTTGGGAAAGAAGCACGCACTCTTCTATAGTCCTGTTTAAAGCGTGATGGAGCTCAGGTACTGCGTCGGGCAAATGCAAAACCAGTCGTGTTGTTGCGCTTCTAAAGCCTGAAAGAACACCTCATGTCTTATCATCCTACAAAGCAATCGCCCTAACAAGTTGTCTAGAGAAGGTCATGGAAAAATTGATATTGACAAGGCTCAAACAGTTTCAGTAGAAGAACATTGTCTACCCAACATAAGGACAGATTTTCGCACAGAAAGGTCTTTAATCGACCACGTGATTGATCTGTATGAACTGTGCAACAGGAAAAGAATTTGGACTTTTCAGAGGAGCACTTTTTTCAGGAGCGAAGCTCCTTAGGGCCCAGCCTAGTGCGCTGTTGTCCCGCGATGATGATGACGCTCATAACGATAAAGAACAAGCACGTTCCATGAGCGCACGTTCTTTTTTTGCCATCATGAAACTGCACTTGCATGCCAGCCACTATCGTCATGGCGATGACAATTACACCAATAACAATAAAGAACTCGCCCGTTCCAGACAACACAGTTTCTTTCTGCGATTGCGGCCCAGCATATGCAAGGTAACCACAATACGCCATCAAGATGACGCTGATGATACTGGAACACGTCTGGCTGTTGCAGTATACGACGTCTAGGTATTCTATACAATACATTTCGTATGACTGGAAACAACCAACGACCACCACAAGAACGTGCGCAGACCTCGTATTTGCCAACTTCAGGGTGAATTCGCTACAACAAATCAGTAATGATGAAGGCGAAAGAAAAAAAGTCGCAACTCAACACAACATATCAGTTATGACCATTAGGTATTGCATATAACTACACTGTTTGGTGCTCAATTACATGCATGAGTATTCAAGTTAGAGTTCAAAGCTAAAGTTTAATTTATTCAAAAGTGACAATATTAGTTTACAGAAACGTGTGTGCAAGATTGGTAGTACTCAAAACGCCCAAAAGTTAAGAACTATCGTTGGGTTCCCATAAAAAATCTGTATGGGAAATAAGATATACATCATTCAGGGGACAGTATTTTTGGGGACAAAAAAAACAGTCGGAAAATAAGTAGAAAAGCAAAAGTGCATATGTGTTTGTTAGACTAAAAGAAAAAAGTGACTATAAAAAAACAATCAGAAATTATATTACAAACAAAACAGCAATATAACACGTACCAAACAAAAAGATAGCTAGAATGAAGCCAGTCGCAAAAAATGCTTGGTTTTTGAATGAATGATTCGTTGTTCATGACTTAACAATGTAAAGAAGGTAATATTACAGCTTGATTTCCATAAGCGCGTAATGAACTTGCCGTAGTTCATGCGAATGTTATGCAGAAGAAGAATTACCAGCTGAGGAAACCTAGTAGCGTGTTATTGAGAGGGTTATTCACAATAAAGTTATCAGTGTATACAATACCAAAAAAAGCCATCACAGCGGATTACTTCAGCCGAAATAGCTGATGAAGAGGATGTAATTTAAGTTTGATAAAGAGGCTTTGCAAAGAACACCTCATGTCTTATCATCCTACAAATCAATCGCCCTAACAAGTTGTCTAGAGAAGGTCATGGAAAAATTGATATTGACAAGGCTCAAACAGTTTCAGTAGAAGAACATTGTCTACCCAAACATAAGGACAGATTTTCGCACAGAAAGGTCTTTAATCGACCACGTGATTGATCTGTATGAACTGTGCAACAGGAAAAGAATTTGGACTTTTCAGAGGAGCACTTTTTTCAGGAGCGAAGCTCCTTAGGGCCCAGCCTAGTGCGCTGTTGTCCCGCGATGATGATGACGCTCATAACGATAAAGAACAAGCACGTTCCATGAGCGCACGTTCTTTTTTTGCCATCATGAAACTGCACTTGCATGCCAGCCACTATCGTCATGGCGATGACAATTACACCAATAACAATAAAGAACTCGCCCGTTCCAGACAACACAGTTTCTTTCTGCGATTGCGGCCCAGCATATGCAAGGTAACCACAATACGCCATCAAGATGACGGTGATGATACTGGAACACGTCTGGCTGTTGCAGTATACGACGTCTAGGTATTCTATACAATACATTTCGTATGACTGGAAACAACCAACGACCACCACAAGAACGTGCGCAGACCTCGTATTTGCCAACTTCAGGGTGAATTCGCTACAACAAATCAGTAATGATGAAGGCGAAAGAAAAAAAGTCGCAACTCAACACAACATATCAGTTATGACCATTAGGTATTGCATATAACTACACTGTTTGGTGCTCAATTACATGCATGAGTATTCAAGTTAGAGTTCAAAGCTAAAGTTTAATTTATTCAAAAGTGACAATATTAGTTTACAGAAACGTGTGTGCAAGATTGGTAGTACTCAAAACGCCCAAAAGTTAAGAACTATCGTTGGGTTCCCATAAAAAATCTGTATGGGAAATAAGATATACATCATTCAGGGGACAGTATTTTTGGGGACAAAAAAAACAGTCGGAAAATAAGTAGAAAAGCAAAAGTGCATATGTGTTTGTTAGACTAAAAGAAAAAAGTGACTATAAAAAAACAATCAGAAATTATATTACAAAACAAAACAGCAATATAACACGTACCAAACAAAAAGATAGCTAGAATGAAGCCAGTCGCAAAAAATGCTTGGTTTTTGAATGAATGATTCGTTGTTCATGACTTAACAATGTAAAGAAGGTAATATTACAGCTTGATTTCCATAAGCGCGTAATGAACTTGCCGTAGTTCATGCGAATGTTATGCAGAAGAAGAATTACCAGCTGAGGAAACCTAGTAGCGTGTTATTGAGAGGGTTATTCACAATAAAGTTATCAGTGTATACAATACCAAAAAAAGCCATCACAGCGGATTACTTCAGCCGAAATAGCTGATGAAGAGGATGTAAATTTAAGTTTGATAAAGAGGCTTTGCATTGGTTAAGAAAAGGCTGAAAGTCATGAGACGAAGTGAATGATTAGGCATGCCCTGAAGTTAGTTTATGCGGGTAAAATATTTGTTGCTGCAGCCTCATAGTCAATATGATCGATGGCTGTGATTATGTGCGTGATAAAGAGAATGGATAATATTGCCACGTTCCATTTCCCAAGGTTTTGTTATCGTCCCAAAACACCACACGATTCTCAGCGCAAACCGCGCCTGCTGTTTTCGAGAAGGTTCCGGACTGTAGTAGATCATTTCGATAAGATCACGCCCACTGTGCGAACGGTACAGATTGTTCTGGAACCTACGCAGATGTCACGGGGTCGTGACGTGGCCGAAGACAGGAGACTTCGTGTTGGGATTTAATTATTTACTTGGGCGAACCTGTGCCCGGTAAACGGAAAGTCCAATTACAGCAGCAGTCTCGCACAGATAGCAGTCTCGGACTGATAGCGGCGAACGGAGCGTCGGCCTTCGATCAACAACTGACAAGCGGCGAAGCGCGTCGGCATTTATACTCTTGCCATTGAATGTTCTAGCGTTATCGCTGGTGGTGGCGTAGGTTCCAGAACAATCTGTACCGTTCGCACAGTGGGTGTGATCTTATAGAAATTATCTACTACAGTCCGGAACCTTCTCGAAAACTGCAGGCGCGGTTTGCGCTGAGAATCGTGTGGTGTTTTGGGACGATAACAAAAACTTGGGAAATGGAACGTGGCAATATGCGGCTGCAAATATCGATTAGTTTTGATTATTGCACGTACTCTGAAAGTAATTTTTTTGGTTGAGTGATTGCGCATGAAGATTGAACTTCATTCGCCGGTCGTGGTCTAGTGCTAGAAAGTTTGTGCGATTAGACATTATTATTAAGGTATACATACAGATATTGGTTATGAAAGCATGATTGGGGGCAATAGAAGACCTTGAAATTGTTTTTAATGGAACATTTATATTATAATCTTTTGATACAAAGAACTTCTAATATGTATATAAATAAAATCAAGTTTTGGTTGTAAGTTCTCACTGTTATTTCTGCAAGCAGAAATGATTGGAACAATCAAATGTTTCAGGCCAAGAGATTGGCCTGAAACAATCGTCTGCTACAACGTAGAGTCTTCAGTACTCAAACTAATTTACGTAGTTCATTAATAAATAGCAAAAAAGCAACGGACTAAGGATCGATTCCTGAGGAACACTTTGATTTACCTTCTTAGCAGCTGAAACCTTACCGTTCGTCTAAAACT